CCTCTCCCTCTCTCTCTCTCTCTCTCTCTCTCTCTCTCTCTCTCTCTCTCTATTCTTTCCCTCTCCCTTCCGCTTGTTCTCTCTCTCTCTATCTCTCAATCTCCCTATCCATCTATCTTTTTTTCGCGAGTAATTAAAAAAAAATGCCATTGATTCACAATAAAAAGTTTCGACACCGCGGTTTAAAATGGACTCAGTCGGGTTAGCGGAAACAAACGTTTTTTTTAGGCCTTACTCACGACGGCTCACAACAAGCAAGCGATCACTGATCTCCAACCGTGTCGTTTGTTTGTTTTTTCAGCTACTTGGTGGCGCTATCGTTGCAGGAAGAACAGAACGTGGCAGGGCGGAAGATAGCGGAGTGGGAAGAGTACAAGGCCAACCTAGGACTACAGCCAGAGATCTCAGAGTGAGTGCAGTAAACCACATTTCAACAGTAAACCATTACCATACATTAACAGTAAACCATACCATATGTCAACAATCACCATACATATGACATATAGTATATAAGTACTATATATATATACTTGTATATAATTCTTATCATAATAACGTTACCATACGTCATAACAGACATCAACAGTAAACTATTACAATAGTCCGTCAACAATCAACTGGTAAAAAGATGTAAACGAAACATCAGACTACAATTTACACGCTGTCGAGTTAAAGTTAAACCATTATCATAATAACGTTACCATACGTCATAACAGACATCAACAGTAAACTATTACAATAGGTCAACAATCAACTGTAAAAGATGGTAAAAGACGACACTAGACTCATTAACGCGCCGTCAGAGAGCTTAAATTAGAACCTTACCATCATAACGTTACATACGTCATATACAGTACTCAGCAGTAAACTATTACAATTAGGTAACAATCAACTGTAATACGATGATAAGAAGCAAACATCGACTCAATTTAACGCAGGTAGAAGTTAAATTAACCATTACCATAATAAGTTCACCATTTGACGCTCCATAACACGGACTTCAGCGAACTATTATAGGTCTGAAAGATGTATAAAGCAAGACTCAAAACCTTTGTCAGAGGTTAAATTAAACATTTTACTATATAACGGTTACCATACGTCATAACAGGACTTCAGCAGTAGACACTATTTACAATTTAGGTCAACAATCAACTGTAAAAGATGTAAAAGAAACATGGACTAAATTAGCGCTGTCAGCGTTAAACCATTACCATAATACGTCATAACAGATGTCAACAGAAAACTGTTAACATGCATAACCTAAACGACATATTAGTCAACTTATCAGCTGTCAACATTAAATGAATCGATTGTAACGAAAACGACTCCGAAATATAAAAATGAAAATACACCATGGCGTTTATGATCATTAATAATATATATTATTAATTATTGTAATATATATTAGCATTTATACAGCATACATTATAATTTATATATGTTCTAGGTTAGTAGTATAAGCTACATTGCATCGCAAATCTGTTTTATATAGCTGTCTGTATCTTTTAAAACCTGACTTTTGTACCACCAGTGATCCTTGATTCCTTGTTACCTTCAGGTTATTGTCTACATTACGTAAAATAAATCGTACAATATATATGTACTTTTGGAAATAAAGTTAACAAAGGAAAAATGTAAAAAATGTAAAAAGTATATAAAAAAATTATAAAAAATTCAAGCGCCACCTGGAGGTTGAAGTCTCGCCGTAGGAGGGCGCCGGTGAGCGCGCGGGCGGCGAGCGGGTCCGAGAAGTCGACGGTGACGCGTCCGGTCATGGGGTCAAGGGTCGCATGGCGGCGGAAGATGGGGTCGGCGACGGCTAGCTGGGTAAAATCCGGCGGTGCATCGCGGTACGGATTGCGTGGGTGCATGAACCGATTGAACCTCATCGTGGGAGGGAGAGGGAGGTAGAGGGAGGGGAGGAGGAAGAGGGAGGAAGAGGGGAGGAGGTAGAAGGGAGAGGAGGAAGGATTGGAGGGAGGAGCGAGGAGGAGGGAGGGGAGGAGCGAGAGGGAAAAAGAGGGGGTGGGGTGGAAGAAGAAAAGGGAGGGGAGGAGGTGAAGGAGGAGGTGGATGACGAAGAGAATGAGGGAGTGGAGGAGGTGGCGGAGATAGGGGAGGTGAAGGAGAAATGTGAAGAAAGGATGAGGTCAAACACAAAAGGAGGCGGTGCAGGAGGAAGAGAGGAAGAAAGGGAAGGGGAGGAGGAGAAGGGAGGAGAAGGACGAGGAGAGAGGATCGACACTCTACACCCGCTTAGCGACGAGGGTCACGATCGGTTTCGGACGCGACTTGAACACGATCTTGCGCCGCACGGTCGCGCGCACCACGTAGAGCGTCTGCCGCGTCGTCGTGGCAACGGCGTCGCCCCCGGCAACCGCTTCCGTCGGCTGCTTCTCTAGCACGGCAACGGGCTTGTCGAGGTCGACGGATTTGCCGAATAGAATGTGGTGTCCGATGACGAGGACGGGCGCGCCCTGGCGAACGAAAGCAGATGAGATTTGCACATGCACGTGCTGCCATCTATGGGGGTCAAATTGTTTTTTTGTTTTTTGTTTTTTCGTTAGGCTCGTCTGCAACTTTTACTTTTTACGTTTACTAATTTTAGGTAAAGAACCAAGGTAACGTAAAGGTATCTAAACCTAGATTTACCTTTGTGTTGAAGTGAAGATCGCCGATAAAATGTCCGGAAAAGTCCACGGCCGCGCGTGACTGTAGATCGCCTTGCAACTCTATCATAAGCCACTCACTGCAGCCCCCTTCGCCGCTTGAAAACAAAGGCAACTTGGCATTATGCACGCACACATGCACGCAAACACACGCACGCACACACACACACACACTTCTTGTGTTTTTATTTTGGCCGGCAGCCTTGAGCTAGCCACATGTTTGCAGGAGGAAGAGAATGAGCTCGCAGCCGCGATGCAAGTCGACCTTCAGAAGTGGTTCCTGAAAATATGACACCAGGTGGCGCCGGCACCGGCGCCTGAACCGTTATGGCTGCCGCTGCCGCAGCGCTTCCCGCTTTGCATTTTTTGCTGCCCCGCGTTTCGTTCTCGCCCCGCCCCGTCCCGCGCGCCGCGTTTTTTGCGCTTTTCTGAGTTTGCCGCCAGGAGGCGCGAGCGAAGCCGCCGCCGCCGCGTTGCACGTTCTTTTGTTTTTTGCGCGCCGACCCTTTACGATTTGCGTTCTGCTTGGCTTCGCTCCGCAGCCGGGAACTCGCTCGTCGACTCCAGGAGGAGGAGAACGCCATGGCAACGGCTGCTGCGGCTGCGGCGCAGGCAGGAGACACAGCAAGCTCCCAGCAACAGCAGCAACAGCAGCAGCAGCAGCAGCAGCAGCAGCAGGCGTCGCGAAGTCAAGAGGGAGGAGGAGGAGGAGGAGGAGGAGGAGGAGGCGGGGGAGGCGAATCACAAAAAAAGAAAGACGTAAGCGAGGTCGGGGCGTGGGCGGGGGATTTGCGGAGCGATGGTCGTTTTGGGGAATAATGTATATCTGTGTAGATCTCGCTTCACCCATCAGCCGATGTGGATTATAATGATATATTATCAGGAGTAAGATAATATAGGATCCTATATTATCCTATATAGGATCCTATAGGATCCTATATCCTATAGGATATATAGCGGACTCCCTCGCTTTGAGGGTAGGGCGTTCGTTGGACTCGCTTGTTTAAAAGTTAATTTCTACCCCCTGCACTCGTGTCTGACCCTCACCCGCTGGTTTTCGCCTCGTTTCCAGTGCGTCATCCTGTGACAGATCGCCCGCGCGCAGATCCACTTCACTGACGGACCCGAAGATGAAAAAAGCCAGTGCCACGCACGGACGTCGCTTTGCGGCGTCGAACAGAGATGGCAGCACCGTCGTCGCTTTCGACCGTCGCCGTGATGACGGTCGCGTCCGTTCGGGACGGATTCGTTCGGTCCGTCGCTCGCAAGCCGCCGGAATGAGTAGCGAACGGGCGTGAGAGGACTCCGCTGTGACGTGTGGCTGTGACCGTGACTGTGACTGTGACGTGTGACTGTGACTGTGACTGTGACTGTGACGAGAGTGGAACGTGTCTTCACTCTGACCTTCTGCGACGAACAGCTACGAACGACGTGAGAACCGCGCCGGAGCCTGGAACGAAACCCGAACATCGTGAGAAGAACCGCATCGCAGTCGGGAACGAAACCCAGCGACTGCCGAGATATATTCTCTCGCGCTACGTTCGCCGAAATCCCCCGCCCGCGGTTTTGTTTTTCTTCGAGGAATCGTCTACGGGTGAACGGGTCGTTCGTCGTGCGATTCGTCGATTTGATGTTGTTCTGACGGCGCCGTTGTCGTCGTTGACGTGGAATCGGACGTTCCACCTTAATATACCTCGATTAGTGTGTGTGTGTGTTACTAGCAGCCACGCGATTTGTTTACCTTCCCCGCCTCCCGGTTTTTATGCAGTTTTTATCCCACTTCTATTGGAGCGATATGTAAATCGAAAGCTTTGTGCAGCTATGTTTTTTACTTCGTCCCATCGCAGTTTCGTATCGCTTACTATCGGTTATTCTCTCGGTTTTAACTGACGTATTTCGCGGAATTGTAAAATCTTTTTTTTTCTCAGAAAATATCGCCAGCTTGCATCCTATAGGTGGAATGTATAGTTAGCTACTAATATTATAGTTAACAGTTCGATAGCTGTTAGTGTATCGAATATTATCAAAGCTAAAAGTTTTGATATCACAGTACAGTATATTACTTACAGTAATCAGTCAGTTATAGTTACAGTACAGGTAGCTCATCAGCTTACGTATATATACTATAGCTATTACCGATAGTGAGGACGGTTATTGGAATACAGGGAATACAGGGAATACGGGGGGGATGAATCTAAGCTAACTCAAGCATACAGCCTTGTGAAATTCCTCCTGCTGCTGCTGCTGATGATGATGATGATGATGATGATACTGCTGCTACTGCTGCATGGGGCAGACTGAGAGTGCCTGCCTTCCACCCACCTTCAAATTCCATACCTGCTCGCTTTAATAGCTTCATGCAAATGCGTAGTCATTTGAGATATCCACACGGTATTCGCAGCCAGCCAACATATAGTTTGGGGGTGGCAATTCGCTTGTAAACGGGCGTAGGTGTTATATTTGTATTTATGGGGCGGGGGGGGGGGAAACAAAGTCTTATTATTATGTATAAAAGCTCGTGGCTGGAGTCTTGTGTGTGTATATTGTGTATAGCGTACGTAAGCGATCGCTTGCCATCGTGGGATGGCCATCGTACTCGGAAATAATTATTTTTACTGCGTTTAATTTATAGCCCTTTTAGCCAATCAGGGGGCCATAATACACATAATTTAACCGCAGATAAATTGTTTTTACCGTGGTTAATTTATGGCAATTTTTACCCAATCGGGGGGCCTTGTTACACGTAATTAATTTATATATTATAAATTATTTTTGCTCCGGTAAAAATATTTAATTCCGGGTATGATGAGCAACCATATGTGGCCTCACTTTTCGTGCTGCCTTAGCTGCTATGCTGTGTATGTACGTAGCCGCTTCATTCGCTATGTAACAACGTGGTGTCGGTAAACGTCCGATGTAGCTTGATACGTGCCCCCCCGTGGGAAACGAACATTGCGCATGCGCATCTAGCAGGGCACATTGCTCGTGGGGATTTGGCTTTTATTGCGCATGCGCAATGTATAAGGGGGAACGTTTTCCATGGAGGGGCGACCGTGCTACAGTGACAATGTTGCGTGTTGGACAGCATATCCAGCGACACGTCACGGTGCATTATCGTTCATTCGTATAGACCTACATGTATTTCTCTATAAACGTGATCCTGTTCTTTTTCTCGATGTATAAATATTTAATTATCGTGTCGGACTCGTTCCGTGTTAAAAACTGACGGGGAATCAATCGATCGCGCAGTGGCGGAATCGGAATGTTTCTTTTTCTGTTGCGATACTTTGTAATTTTTTTAGGTATTTGGTTACCCGTTCGATCGTGTGACATTATATAGTTGTGGTACGCCTTGTATAAAGTGTGCGAGAGGCAAGAGTCGGGGGACAATGAGTGTAAACTTGGTAGTATGAACGCGATAGCTACTTTCAGATCTTTGCTTTTCTATGTGAACGCGCTTTTCATGTGTACAATGATGCATTGGTTCATGGTTCAGTCAAAGACAATGTACATGTACATCTATGGTTGGCCAGCGTACTCAGAAAAGATTATTATTACCGCGGTAAAAATAATTTGACCGCGGTTAAATTATGGCCCTTTTACCCCATCAAGTTCTAGCCAACGTAATTTAACCGACGGTAAAAAAACTTTATTGCCGCAGAGTTGCAGTCATGGATGTACATGTACGTGTCTATATATATATAAAAAGTAGATAATAGGGAACCCCTAATTCCCTATTATCTACTTCTGATATATATATATATATTATAGCATGTCTAGCTCTACTCGTGTGTAGCCCTTCGGTCTGTTACAAGGGTGTGGTGGAGCAAAGGCCTGTACTGGGGAGAGCTAAGGTATCTATATAAGGCTATATATATATATATATACAGATATATATATATATATATATATACAGATATATGTATCCCAGGCGTGTATTGTTTCTCGCTCTTGCGCAGTGCATCAAGCTTGTAAATTATCATCTTACGCGACCTTTACGTTTATCGTCGCGGTAATTAATAAACCATGGAACGTCGTTGATGAAAGCTATCGGTTGGTTGTTCCTGGATGGTCATTTTCTCGTTTGTTCTGTTCGATTCCTTTCACCATAGATATGTACAAACACACTATTACTATACTAGAAATAGGTAGGAAAACATGGTACCAGTGAGTATATATATGAAATAATAACAACACCAAAGCTTCATTCATAATACATATATACATATTGTATTACGTTCTCGGGCAATACACGTACTCACAGATTTTTATAACAAAGCCATCAACATCTTTTACAAATTTACCGCGAACAGAAAACGTCAAACATCGTTAATCATGTATATTATAATCATAATTGAACAATTATTGAACATTGGTGCAATTACAAATTTAAGCTGCATCTTGATCAACTTAAAAATAAGGCTTGCCCATAATGCTAACTAACTATGAACACTGGTAACGAAGTGACTAATCCAATAGGCATAAAATGACGTGGCATATGTTTGAAAAATAAGAATAATAAAAACGCAAAGTAAATGTGGCAGCACCCATACATACAGACAAATAATACAGAATGGCAAACATACATACAGATGCTTTCTACCAGTAACCTGTCTATAATCTACACACACACACACAAGCACGTGTGTTCTATATAGGTGGTAGCTACAACACATACAGATGCTACATATCCATCCAGAGTACATAATAGAGATTATGTACTCTTTATTACGTATAGATAATTATTATGTAGAGATTACGTACTCTTGATATCCATCCAGCAGTGCAGTCCAGCGACCATGCGCGATGCATTGCCACCACGTCACCCTCCACGCCAAATACAGTTCCTCATCCTCTTGCCATCCTAAGGCCTAAAAAAGACGTTTGTTTCCGCTAACCCGACCGAGTCCATTTTAAACTGCCGGGTCGAAACATTTTATTGTGATCGGCAAAAAAAAACTTTTTTTTAAGCCTAATCGATGATTCTACTGCTGAAGCCATAACTCACTACGGCGACATCACGACATCTTCCTCCTCATTCATCTCAGCTTCCCGCGCACACACGCCATCACCGCCAACCACCGCACCACTGCTCACAGCAGCAGCAGCAGCAGCAGCAGCAGCACGGCCCACACAACTACTACCACCATCACCATCACCCCCAGCAACAGCAGCAGCAGCAGCAGCAGCACGGCGGCGCGCGAGCGAGGCGAAAGCGACGACGCCGAAACGGACGACAAAGTCATGGGCGGACAATGTGCAAGCGGCCGACATAGGAGACATATGGCGGACATGGGAGCCGGAGGTGGAGACAATGTGCGTGGCGACAGTGTAAGCAACCACTAGTGAGGCCAATATGGCAACCAGCCTGTCGGGCGAGGAGTGGAGACAATATACATATAGCTGACAATATTGCTGCGAGTGGAGACAATATACATATAGCTGACAATATTGCTGCGACGTGAGCAAGTATATATAGCTGACAATATTGCTGCGAGTGGAGGCAATATGGCTGACAATGTAGCAACCATTAGTGGAAGCAATATGGCTGACAGTATAGCCATGAGTGAAGACAACATGGCCAACGACCCAGCAGACAGAAGAAATGGCAGACGAAATATCCGTATCCAGCGCAGAGAGACGGCGGATTGCGT